TCTGGGGATCCTGGTACAGATCTGGGGCCTAGAGAATTGCCAGCTCCCTGCCAGCTTCCTCCCCAGGTGGAATCCTGAGGTTGTTGCCTTTCTTACCTTTAATTCCTGGGAACACTTGTTTAATGCATCCTGCACTGCTCTGGGAGCAACCTGAAAGCAAGAGCTGTTTCCCCGCTTTGACTCTGACCTCCCAAATAATGGACAAGGTATCTTTTATTGGATTGGGAGTTTCTTTACAGTACTGACTAGTCTCCTATTTTTCTTTTTTCTCAAACTTTTCAGTCACCAAGAAAAAAAAAATCATGCCTGCTAACTAATATACCTGAGAGGAAAATGACACAACATGGCTAATCTTCACAGGAGCCATGGTGGGCCTCGCAGCTGTCCCAAGGCCAAGGCAAAAATGCTTTCTCCTGAGAGTTCTTCTGTCACCACTGTGGAACTGCCTATGTTTTGGTCCTGTCAGCTCCCAGAAGGGAAAGAATCCTCATGTCACTCCTGAAGGAGAACAAAAGAAAAATAAATGAGTCATGGCTGTTTCTCTGGTAAGACAAGTTTTCTGCATCAGTCAACCACTGTTTCTGATGACCAGAAGGGGTTGGTGGGGTGGTGATCAGGGAGTAGATCTGGACCAGCTGATGAGATTCCAACAAAAGTGAAAGAACTGGAATGCAACAGAGAAGCAAGTACCAAAAAATATATATGTGTATGTATATATATAAACATGTTGATGTTGGACTATATGTAGGTAAGCTCCCAAAAGCATGAACTGCGCCTTTAATCATTCATCTTTATATCCCTAGAGCCTAGCACATAATAAAGACGTGTAACGAACGTTTAACTAAATATATGACACAAGTCTATTACGGTTTTTTCCTTTTCATAAAATAAATCTTCCTTCACTTTTCATCAAGGTTCTCCTCTACTAGAAATCTTCAGTGGCTTGCTGACCTATGCAAATCCCTTGCTACATGGTGGGTACCTGATAATATTAATTCAGCTTGGCCCCTCAAAGCATCTACAACAAAAATCTCTCCATTTCCTGCTTCATCTCCTACTATTCCTTTCATCAGAGGATGTGTTTTACCTAGCATTGTCTTATTTATTTAATGTTAAAAGTTCATATGGGTATTTGTACTTTGTCTTTTACTAAACTTTTTACAGAAATTTTAAATATATGTAAAAACAAATATACGAGTATAGTGACCTCTCATGTATCTGTCACCTAGCTTCAACAACTCCTCGGGCAGAGGTGTTTTAAAGTTGTCTGAATGTCTTAAGCTGGAATCTCTCTCCAAATATTTACATCCTGTTTTAATCATGTTTGTTACCCACCTGGCCCCTAAACATGAGTCCATGAGCCCTAATATACTCCTGACCATAATGGTCTTCTTGCCTCCTTCCTGCCAAAAAAAAAAAAAAAAGTTTCCCACCTCTGAGACTTTGCTCATGCCATTGCTTCTGCCTGGAATGCTCTTTACTTTTCCTACTGTCAAATCTAACGCATCTTTGATGCTCAAATGTCACCACCACTCTGCTCACGGTGATAGCTCCATCCTCTCAAGTCTGTATTACAATTATTTGTGTCTATCTTTCATCCTTTGACCAATTATAAGCTCTTGGAGGACAGGTTTCATGTCTGATTTATTTCTATATCCCCAGTGTAAGAGGGAGAAACATACAGTTCCAGATTAACAAAAGTCTGCTGAATGAATGACCATAAAAATTAAGCTCCAGAGGGCCAGCCATCATGGAATGCTCAGAGTGAGGTAGACTGCTTTGACAGCAGTAATGAACTCTTAGTGAAAGCCACCTAAAGGTCACAGGTTACGTTCAAGATGGTGCAAAGGCTTCAATGAGAGAAGAATGCAGAGTGAGTCCCAGTCACCTCTTGGCCTCCAGATTAATTAGAACTGATTACTCCCACTATAGAAACTCACTGAACATTGAGCTAGATGTTGGAGATACAAAAATAAATAAGATATGATCTACGTCTTGGAGAAACTATTAGTATACATTTGTGATTTGATTGGAAAACTCCACCATTTCTCGTCACTAACACACAGATGTTTGACGTAGCCAGTCCCAAAACTACACTCTAGGCTTGGGGACCCTGCAGCTGTCGATCTTGGATATTTAATTTAGTTAATTGGGGGGGGGGCGTGTCTAGTAGGTAACAGGCACTGTACTAGGTTACACAGCAGTGAATTCAAGACATGTACAACCCTTACCACCGGCTATCAAATTGCTTGTAGTTTTCCAAAGTTTAAGCACTTTCCGACCTCCCTGTCCTTCCATACACTGTTGTTCTTATTTTTTGGCAATTACTTATTTACCCTGTGTGTCTCCCTACTAGGTAGTGAGCTCTTTGAAGACAGGGATTTTTGTCATGCTCACCATCTCCCACACCTCAGAGAGGTGCTGAAACAGCAGGCATAAAAAAATAGTAGTTTATTAAGTTAACCAAATTCTAATCAGAATTTCAGCAGTAGTTTCTGACAGGCAAACACAACAAACTCATCAACCAATTAAGGGCCACAAATTGCTAAGACAATTCTAAAAAGATAGATCAAAGAGGTGGGGTTCAAGTCCTTGAAAAAAAGTACAAAGTTGCTGTAATTAAAACATAGTCTATAGAGACAAGCAAATAGTTTCCAGAAACAGACTTATACAAATGGGAATTTACAATCTGTTAAATAGAGCAGAATCATGACTTTGCCAGAAAAAGACGAAGTAATAAATGGTATTCAGAAAACTGGTTTGTAATGTGAACAAAAATAAAAGCAGATCCCTACCTCACAACATATTAAAAAAATTATACTCAAATGGATTAAAAATGGAAACATGAAAAATACTTTCAGTTAACACAAAATCAAATGTTAAAATCAAATTACTGATGGAAAGAAGGTATTTGCAACATTTGCAACAACTTGGATAGTATTCAGTTATTTTTAAATACTACAAATCAGTAAGGGCAAGCAGTCCAATAGTAAACTGGAGAGAAGACACAAACATGTAACTCACATCAGATTAAATCTGAATGACCAAAAGCCCATATAAAAAAGTCCTCAGCCTTACTAATAATAAGGAATTGCAAATACCTCTTCTAAGGCTAGAAAAAAATTTAAAGTCTACAATATGAAGGATTAGCAGTAATATGGGGAAATGGGCCCTCTCATAAACACTTCCAGCACATCTTAATTTTAACTAGCTGCATTTCAAGAATAGCCACATGTGTCATAACTTGTTAAAACAGTACAGCTCTAGAGGGACTCAGATGTGCACGAAATGATACATTTAATGTTTCCTATAGCAAGAAGCAAAAAACTCTAATTAGTTGAGGAATGGATAAATGAAATGTTATATATCATAAAATGGAATAACATATAACAGTTAAAAGGAATAAATTAGATGTAAATATATATAAACATGGATAGCCCTCAAGAATAGATTTAAAGAATAAGTTATAGAATTATACACATAAAAACAGCACTTATGTTCAGTTAAAAAAGAAAATGAAACAATACTTATATTGTCCGTGACACATATAATTTTTTTTTCAACAGACTGGGAGAATACAGAGTTAATCATAGTAGTTGCTTCTGGGGCCAAAGAAAGGTTAATGAGTCTGAGGGTCAAAGACACAAATAAATTCAACTTTTATCTGTATCATTTTATCTTTTTTAAAAATGAGGAAGCAATCACATCAATTGTCAATTTGGGATTATGAGTATATGGTGTTTACAATATTCTTTGTATAAGGTTTTACATTATAAATATAATTCCCATTTTAAATAAATGAGATGCCTGTAGGTGGTGTAAATATCACCCTGTAACTTCCTGTTGGCCCCAAATAAATTTGACTGTCATTCTAATATTCTGTGAGCCCACAAGACACCTAGCCCTATTCAGGCAACCGGGACGTCCAGGGGGCGTGTGAGCAGGGTCCACAGGGTTCCGAAGTGTCGGGTCCCGATGTACAAATAATAAAGTGTTGGAAATGAGTTAGGAAGCTGTAAGTTCGGGTGCAGCATAGTGAATAAGGTGTACAGGACAGGGTTAAAGGTAGGAAAGGTAGGAGCTGGTGCCACAGAATGCGGCCGTAGGAAAGAGTACGGAGACGTGTGAAATGGAACCTGAGGCGCGAGAGCCTAAGCAGCAGTTAGGGGGCCGTTGAGGTCCCGCAAGGCTCTTCAGCTCTCAGCTTCGGAAACCTAAGTCGCGCCGCTACTTTCACCACTCCTTGGAACGCGCTGTTCTATCCACTTCCTTGATGGTCATCCTCCCTCCCTTTCAGCCACTCCCCACCAACCCCCAACGCCCCTCACCCGGGTTAATAGACCTCGATGAGCCACCGCTGCCTCAGATCGTGGACCACAAGCCCTTTCTCCCGCCAATTCGGCCCTCTGACCTCCGCCTTCTGAACCAAGCACCACTCTTCGGCCTCCCGAAGCCCAGGAATTCGTTCTGGGACCTCAAGAAGCCACTGCTTCTAGAAAATGACTCCCACCGAGGCAGGAAGGCATGAGCTACAGGCAGTAAAATACACTCGCGTGGTTTCTGTGTGTTGCACGCACTACAAATCTCCTCGCTAAAGAGCAGAATTTAAACTTCCGGGTCAGTTTCTATGCATTCTGGGAAATGTAGTCCCTCGTCTCCACGCTTCGGTCCTGTTGGCCAGAGTGAGGGAGCGTCGCAAAAGTTGACGATTTAGGGGCCCTTCCCTTTGGCACTCCAAAGGGGAAAATTGGTGAAATATTTGCACTGAAACTGATACAAGCTCAATTTCTCATTTTTCAAGAGCCCTCCCCCGCCGGAGCTTAGAAGCGCACGGGATCTGTCCCTCCTTGACCTTTAAGTGAGCAGCGGGTGGACGGTCTCTTAGTTCCCATCAGGTCTCCGCCAGTCTTGGTGCCCCGCCCCTCCTGCCGGAGCCCGCGCCGCCGATTGGCTAGGAGCGCTTGAGCGGCGGAAGCAGCTGGCTCGCGCGGGGTCTGGGGGGAGGGGGAGAGCCGTGAAGATGGCGGCAGTGGTGGAGGTGGAGGTTGGAGCAGGTGCTGCCGGGGAACGGGAGCTGGATGAGGTAAGAGTTGAGAGTCGAGGAGAGGAGAGACTCAGCCTGAAACTGAAGGGAGGGGAGGGGAGGTATCAGGAGTAGGGGTCCTAGGAGAGACGGGATCCTGAGAGGAAAGGAGCCAGCTGGGGGGCGGGTGCGCGGAGAGGGAAATCAAAGCTACCCTGGATTCCAGGACTCGAGGACTCGGAGGCGGTCATAGGGTAGAAGACTTGCCATAACCTCAAGGGTGGAGATGGAGGGCAAGAAGAGAAGCCAGAGGAGTTGGGGTATTAAGATTTGGGATGATTAGCTGAGGGTCCTAGGGAGGACTTCAAGGGCTGCCAGGTAGCCTGAATTGGAGGGGCGTGGACTTCTGCCAGGGAAAGCCGGGTTTTCACTGAGGGAGAGGACTCTAGGTTTGGAGTGGGGGTTGGGGACGCGGGCCGGGGAAGAGTGCTAATATACTAGTATTATAGCTTTGAGTTATTTTTATGTAAGAATTCTTTACATTCTAGAACTTTGTACATAATGTGGGCTCGGTAAAGTTTTGGTCAACGAATGAACGAATGGATGAATGAACGATTGTATACTGGAATTCATCCATTTTCTCCTTTACCAAACATTAAGTTTCATCTTTGTGCCGAGTCTTGGGGTAAGTGTTAGGGACACAAGAGACCCTCCCATCGAAGAGCTCACAGTCTGGCGGTGGGAAACACACAAGAAGACTAGTCATCGCATCAGAGATATAACGGTGGCACTGAGAAGAGCAGACCAGTGCAATTTGGGCAAGGTTAGGTTTCCCAGAGGAGATTAGTCTTAATGGTTAAGTGATTCTCTATCTCTCTCTTCTAGAGTTAGGAATTCTTTGAGGGTGAGCTCTTGAGGGTATATGTCCCCTTTAGCTACATAATAAGCATTTAACAACTGGTGTATTCAATTACCAGTGGTCCTTGAAAGAAATCACTAAGAGGAAGGAGACATTGAGTTTGAGGGGAATGAAGGGACAGCGCTGAGAAGCAGAGAGAGAAGGTGAGAAGTGGAAAGAGAAAAGATTCTGAGGCCTAGGGTACATTCATAGCTAGGGGTGCTTGTGTTCTTGCACATGGCAGCATACGGACAACAGGGAGGAATAGGAGGAAAGGGGTTGATCATAGGGAATGAAACCAGTGGGATCTCTGAGGGATCAGAATCATCGAGGCCCTAGCTGTGTATTGGAGGTGGATAGGTGGGGTCTGAGGATGAGGCTCAGAGAAAGGGAGTAGAAGTGGACTTGAGAAGCAAAGACTGTTGTTTGGTGGTGGGATGACTTGGAGGATTTGGTTCACCTGATTGGGATCATTAAGGTGGGGGGAGGAGATTGAGAAATTGACAAGTGGTCAGAGCAAGCAGAGATTTTCAAAGAAGCATTTTAGAACTATACCTTTCAATCACTAATGACTAGTGTTTGGATACCACTCGGTTGGTGAGGTGGGGTGGTTGTGGAAATGACTTCCAAGGCCCCTTTCAGCTTTAAGTTTCTGTGATTACAGTTGGCTGTGGTTCAATGAGATACACTTGAAAGTGCCTTGAAAAAGGTAAATACTGTATTGAAGGTATTTTATGTGGTTTGTTAGTCATGGGCTCTCCTTTGAGGGGAGCCTAATTTCAGTTATATATATCAGGATTTATTGGGATAAAGAGCACAAGTTTTGTTTTGTTTTGGGGGAAGATAATTAGGTTTATTTTTTATTTTACTGGAGGTAATGGGTATTGAACCCAGGACCTCGTGTTTGTTAAGCATACACTCTACCACTGAGCTATATACCCTCTCCCCTCAAGAGCACAAGTTTTGTCAGAGGAGAAAAGAACTTAAAGTTTTGATGTTAGACATTGTTTATTTTTCCTTCTTAGCTTTTCTTCCCTTGTTTTTTTTAAGAACTTAAGAGCTTCTAGTAGCATAATGATACTGCCACAGCCTTAGGCCTAGAGGTCAGCTTTATGTGTAACCACTAGCATTCATCTCAGAAAACTTCTATTTCTTGTTTGATTTACTAAGAAAGAATATAATCTGTCATCTGAAAATTCTGTATGAGCTAGTTCTATCCTTTTCCTTGTATGTTTAAGAAAATAACTCTAAG